TCTCTGGTTCTGCTATCTCTGGTTCTGCTATCACTGGTTCTGCTATCTCTGGTTCTGCTATCTCTGGTTCTGCTATCACTGGTTCTGCTATCTCTGGTTCTGCTATCTCTGGTTCTGCTATCACTGGTTCTGCTATCACTGGTTCTGCTATCTCTGGTTCTGCTATCACTGCTATATCTGGAAAACGTCCCAACTTGAAATAAACCTGAAATATTGCCGACCTCAGGTGTCCATGTAGAGTTGTTTGTGATTACCGATCCTTGTTGTTTTGGGGTTTGTTTTTTTCAATTTTAATGAGTTTTGTAGTGTTTCTGTTTTGTTCTTTGAGAATGTGATATGTAAGGATCATATTGTCTGTTGGCTGCCACATTGTCTGTTCTAAATTATTTTGTTTCCGATGTTTGGGTATTTTCCTGAATCATTTACTTTGTCTTGTTTTGTATGGGCTTTTCCCCAGAATCATTTACTTTGAATCCTGGTTTTTTGTTGGGGTGTTTCCCCAAATTGTTTACTTTCTCATGATGTTTTGTATGAGTTGTTTTTTCCCACAGAATCATTTACTTTGTTATGTTTTGTATGATTGTTTTTTTCCCCACAGAATCATTTATTTTGTTATGTTGTTTTGTAATGGTGGGGGTTCTTGTCACTAGAAAGTTTTATTTCTTCTCTTGTCCACTGTTTGTTCCTCTCTGTCCAACTTGCTGTTCCCTGATACTCTAAAAATGACCGTTGTTGTGTCGATGTGGGTGGTTAGCGGGTGCTCTGGTGTGGTTTACTCCTTCATTCCTATAATAAAATCTATCATCCTTATCTATCCTCTTTTGTTTTCTTTATATGTTCCTCTCTTATAACACCTCTAATCTTCGGCACTTATATGACTTATTTGTGTTGCAAGTGCCGTAAAACTCGCACTGAAATTATTGTGTCCATGTGCGTTTATGTATACCGACTTGAATGAGCCTTACAGTATCACATCATTTGTTTCTCTCTCTCTCTCTCTGTCTTTTTCTCTGTGTGTGTCTCTCTCTCTCTCACACACACACACACACACTCACACACAAACCCTCACACACACACACACATACACACACACACTCACACACACACACTCACAGAGGATATCTCACCAATGTTTCTCTCTCTGTACTCACCGTTTAATTATTCCTCCTTCTGTCCATCCACCAGCCCCCAAGATGAACGAGTGGACGGCGGACGTGGACAGACGTATCTGGAAGGCCATCAGTGTGGGCATGGAGAGAGGACTCATCAAGCCAGAGGACCCTGTGAGTTTGCCTGTCTGTCTGTCTGTCTGGCTGGCTGTCTGTATGGCTGTCTGGCTGTCTGTCTGTCTGTCAATCTGTTTATCTGTCTGTGTCTTGCTAGCTGGCTGGATGTCTGTCTGTCTGTCCGGCCATCTGGCTGGCTGTCTGTCTGTTGGTCTGTGTGTGTCTGGCTAGCTGTCTGTCAGTTTGTCTGGCTGGCTGTTGATCAGTCTATGTCTGTGTGTCTGTCTGTTTGTTTCTCTGGCTTTCTGTCTGTCTGTGTGGGTGGTTGGCGGGTGCTGTGGTGTGGTTTTCTCCTTCTTTCCTATCAAACATCTATCGTCCTTATCTCCCCTCCTTTTTTTTGTGTTTGTTACTCTCTTGTAACACCTCGAATCTTCGGCACTTATATGACCTAATTGTGTTGCAAGTGCCGTAAAACTCTTATTAAAACTAGGTCTAAACTCAAACTCCAATTCTCAACTCAATCACCAAAAGTTTGCGCTCATGTAACCTCCTGCAGTTGCGAGCGCCGTAAAACTCTTACTAAAACAAACTAAAGCAAAACAAAACTCCAATTCTCAACTCAAACTCCCAATTCTATAACCTTATGCTGTTGCGAGCACCGTAAAAACTCTACTAAACTAAACTGCAATTCTCAACTCAAACTCAAATTCTCAACTAAAAGAAAAGTTCAATTGTCAACTCAAACTCAAATTCTCAACTAAAAGAAAAGTTCAATTGTCAACTCAAACTCAAATTCTCAACTCAAAGAAAACTTCAATTGTCCACTCAAACTCCAATTGTTCACTCAAACTCCAATCACCCTCACATGTTTCAGGTTGTGATCCTGACTGGCTGGAAGCCCGGCTCCGGAGCCACCAACACCATGCGTATCGTGGCCGCACAGGACGGGGGTGACAAGGACCTTCTGCCGCCCATCGTGGGCATGAGTTCTGTCCCTTCCTTCAACGCCAAGGGCAAGGAACTCTCCGAGGATCTCTCCACCGTCTCCATCTCCTCCGAGGCTGAGAATGTCAAGTTTTTCTAAATATATCTCCCTATCTCCCACACCCCGCCCCCAATCCTCCCCTCCACTCCCTGATGAAAATGGCCAGTCTTTCTAAATATCCCCCCTTGAAAATGTCCAGCTTTTTAAAATACACCCC